AGAAAGGCAGGGTAAAAATATTTAAATAAATAAATAAAATAAATAAGAATGACGAGAACTCCTAATTTGTGCACTCTCTTCTTCTCCTTATACCACTAGAGCACAGAATTTGTTAAAGAAAACTCATCAGTGTCCATTAGTTGTTATAACCAAATCAGCAGCAAAGGACAAATTAAATGAAAAGATTTGGATCTTGTCAGTTTATTGTTCTTTTGAAGGAAAACTCATGATAATATGCAGTCCTATTGCCTTGGGGATGAAAACCCGCAGATACGGGAATTTATATGAACATCTAGAACAGGAAGAAGGCTTTTTACAAAGTATAAATATCGGCACTCATCACTATATGCAAGTAGGTAATTAGGATAATTATTCCCAATTAGCAGCTGCAAACCCTGCAGATGGGATTTTCAGAAACTGATAACTATTGTAAAAGACATTTTTGCAAGCTGTAAAACCACTTTCACAATTTGGAATGCATACACTGAATACCCTCTACATTATCTGTAGCAGATCTTTGTTAGCTTTTCAAAATGATAAAAAAGAGAAATATGTTCATGCATTAGTGTAGCTCTGTGGGCAACAGTTCAGAACAGATTGGCACCTGAGATGAGCTGAACTTTAAAAAAAAATTCAATTGTTTAACCTATGACACTTGAGCAAAGAGCTGAAGTGAATTTTGAACCTGTGCACACTACACCTGAGCATGAGTATTGCCACGTTATTCAAATTTTGTAGGACGTTCACAGCTGATGCAATGTCCTTTGAAGTCAATGGAAAGACTCCAATTAACTTCTCTGGTTTTGGATCATACCCCGTGTGAGGAAATTTGTCTCCATTAAAACATGTTTCCTTCAAACTACTAGGCAACATCCTTCCTTCTACCCAGGATCCAGAAACTCCTACTCACAGCTGTCATTTCCAGTGGGCTTGGTTGCCTCTTCTCTCTCCTGGATCTTCCAATACGTTTCCTCCTTTTTTGAGGACTGGATTTCCTGACACCTTCTTTCAATCACAAGGCTCTTTTGGTAGCCAGTAAGTGGCTCTTAATGTTAAAGGGGCAGAGTGGCTTTGGGTATACATATATGCTCTCTCTGATATAGTAAAGTCAAGGATAATTTGATGGAGTCCTTTCGATGATTCCAATATTGTTGTGAACCTAACAGCAAAACCAGCTTTACCTGTTACAGGTCTAGTAGCTATACAAATCTAATCAACTCAAACAGGATGAAATATTATTATGTGTCAATGGTGGAAAACTTGTCCTGGGAAAGTTGTTTACCACTGTAAAAAGCTTAGCTTTTTAGCTAGAACTGCCCTTAGGATGAAATTGCAAGTTTTAAACAGTCATAACTTTACAAGCTAGGCTTGAGTTAAACGTTGAGCTGCAAGTAAGAATCTCAAAATATAAACTTGTAAGGTGTTTTGCTTTCAGCCATTTTTGAGTTAGTGAAATTACAGAATTTCACATTGTAGGATATGGGGAAAGTAGGCTTTTATACTTGAATAGCTCAAGAACAGCCGACCTGATTTTGCTCACACTTTTTATAAATCATCTTAAAGTTGAAACATAGCATTTAAAGCTTAGACCAAAATTAAGTTGTTACACTAAGTTATCAATTCCTGGAAAAGTAAGTTTAAATCAGAGGCTGAAATTCATCCTTAATATAGGCACATAGGGACTCACTTGTATGCCAGTAACCAAAATGCTGTCCTGTTACTTGATCCTTGTTTGTACCCATGCCAGCATCTGAACAATGGAAGCAAAATAAAAGGTATAAGTAAGTTTGTTTGATATCAAGTACTTCATTGTAATGAATTTACTGGTCTATTTCTTTAGCAGTATAGCATTCAGTCTATGGCAGTCACGAGAATACCTGTTGTGTTGTAATGCAGTTTCAAGAAAAAGTATTTATTTTTTGAAATGTTGGGGATGTCCATCTGTTACGCTAACATTGCAAGTATCAGAGGGGTAGCCATGTTAGTCTGAATTTGCAAAAGTGGTCTTTGCCCACTTAAGCTTATGCTCCTATAAATCTGTTAGTCTACATAGGTTCACAGGACTAATATTGCAAATATTCTTGAGTTCTCAGAAAACCTTGGATATCCTTCCACACAGAGAACTTCCATATATGTTTGATTTTAACAGGAAAATTAGGGTGATTTGTTGTATCTAAAGAGCTCAGGTCTCCGGATAAATGTTCACCCCATTCTTTTAGCTTTCCCAGCTCCACCTTCCAAAATCCAGAGCTGCCTAACTTTAAGATTTGTTCCTGTGCTACATATAGGAACTTTTTGTTTTATTTGTTATTCTTCCTTCTTGCTGCATCTTTTCTTTCCTCTATTTTAGTGCCTGTGTTTTCCCTCATGTTCATTTTTTTCATGCTTTTTTCTTCTTTTAAAATGCTTCGAAGTATATTTTTCTCTAAAATAATTTGTCTTTTCAAGATGTTTTTTTCTTTTCTGATTTGTCCTCGCTGTACACTAGGAAATCATTTCAAAATAAGTAAAATCAAAATAATAACTCCTGAAATAACAAAGTCGAAATAGCACATCCATACTACAAGACAGCATCAAAATAGCTCAGAATTATTTCAAAATAGCACGTCCACTCTAGTTGGACCCTGCCTTAGTCTTAGAGCTCCCGGAAGCACTCTGGGGAATGCATTAGGAGAGCAGACACTTCCTGTGGCTGCTTGGTCAGGAAAGCTGAGACATGTGCTTTCAGGGGCTCCTCTCTATGTCTGTGTCTCATATGCCGCTCCTACTCCCCACTCTGACACAGTGTGCTCTGGTTGCCCTTTGGACACTATAGCACTCACATCATGGAGCTGGAGCTGCTGCAAAGCAGTGCCATGCTCATGGGCCTTAGGCTGCCCTCCATTCTCCCCTCCCACTCTCCCCCACAGAGAGTAAATAAAAACACCATTTTTTGGTTAACAAACAACTGTCTTTATTTGAGGGATATAAAACAGGGAAAGAACTGGGAAAATAACCTAGAATGGGAAAAGGGGGGCTCAAGGATGGGGCTAGGAGTGGCGCCTGCTCTATTCAGTTCTAGAGGTCTTGGCTGCCCTGGAGGTCCCACTATCCCATGTTCAGCGGCCCCTGGAGAGCTAGGAGGAGAAGCTGGGGGGGGGACAGAACAGGGGGAAATGGCTGGTGGCCCGCTCCATGCACAAGGCTATGCGCGCTATCACCAAGGTAAGGCAGAAGCAGGTGGCCTGGTGCTGACTCGACAGCTGGTTCCAGGTGGCCTTCTGCTGCTCCCTGTCAGCCAGAGGCAACCGAGGGTGCTGTGGGAGTGCTGGCTGCCGGGAGGGCGGGGAGCTCACTCTATTTCAAAATTACAATTTCAAAACAGGCATTATTCCTCATGGAAAGCAGGAGTTATTATTTTTAAATAACCAGCCAGTTATTTCGAAATAAGGGGTTTGGTAGTGTGGACGTTCTGCTTGTTATTTCAAAATAACCCCTGAGTGTAGACCAGGGCTCAGTCAGGCGTTATCATTAGTGTTTACAGAGCTTGTGTGGCTGTCTCTCTCTTTAGCTCAGCATCTCTCTCTCTCTCTCTCGCTCTCACACTCTCTTGCTCTCTCATTTCTATCTCACTGTATTCCTCATCCATTTCTCCCTTCACCTTCTTTGAAAGGGGCCACAGCACAAGCCCTGATCACCCTAAATGTAGATTATGAGTGCATTTGGGAGGGTGAGGAGTTGTTAGGATATGTCTACACTACCACCCTAGTCCGAACTACCGTTACTCCTCATGAAACGGTAGTTACTCCTCGAGTTACTCCTCGAGGAAGCCTAGTCCGAACTACCTAGTCCTTGCCGCGTGTAGCCGCGCGGCATGGAGTCCACACTAGCGGACATTTAAAAATGGCGGTGCCCAGCTTTATGCAAATGAAGCCCGGGAAATTCAAATCCCGGGCTTCATTTGCAACTCCGGTTGCCTACATTACCACCCTAGTTCGAACTAGGGTGGTAATGTGGACATACCCTTAGTGTCACAATCCATGGATCTGATGCAAGGTCTGTCAGTGGGAGTCTTTCCATTGAGCTGAATGGCCTTTGGATCAGCCTCAAATGTGTTTAAGTTGACAGGCTTGACTAGGCCTTCTAACTTTTCAAACTCTCCACTTTAGTCTCTTACAGTCTGCCAACTTCGTAGTATATCTACATAATTATTTTGAAGGCATTATTTTGATAAAGAGCTTGATCTTCCAACATGCTGAGCTCTCTGACCAGGATAATGACTTAAAACAGTGCTGCTTCCAACGCTGAGTTTTCTTTGGGTAGAGACTTCATCTCATGCTGAACTATTTGGAAACTTTATGATGCAAATAGTTATGAACATGTAGCCATCAAACTCTTTTTCACTTGTTTCCCAAGTCAGAATTTGAACCTTGATCTCCTAATGTACAAAACTAGTGAAGCATGATGGATTGTTTAGTATTTACAAATAATGAGCATTTCAAAAGTTTCCTAAATTGTATGTATGAATAATTATCTGCCTATTTTACTGGGATAGAATAAGATTATATTACAGTCTTCTCTGAGTAATTTATATTCTTAAGAAATATTACTGCAGATAGCTCCTACAATTGTACTTGTTTCATACGAGTTTAAATTATAAACATTAGCAATCTCTCTGAATTCCATCAGTTTGTGAAAGAATTAATGTTATTTACATGCAGCTTTTTTTATATTTAATTAGTGATGGTATGTCTGAAAGACTACAGAATCTCATTGTGAGGATAATGGGTAAAATATTCAATAGTGCTTGACTTTCAATGAGTTTTAGGCTCCTCTGTGCCTAAGCCACTTTAAAAAATATGACTTAGGTTCTTAAGTCACTTAGGAACTTTTGAAAATTTTACCCAATGGCATCATGCCTCAAGGGTCAAACCTAAATGGCTTGTCTTTGAAGTGTGGACTATCTAAGGCTGTCTCTTAAAATATGATGAGATTCCTGCATATTTTGTGTTTGGTACCAGGTGCCTCAAGATGAATGGGGAGGGTACCCTGCTGGCGGTAAAGACGAGGAGATCCCCTGCAGGAGAATGAGAAGTGGGAGTTATATTAAAGCCATGGGAGATGAGGAAAGCGGAGATTCTGACACTAGCCCCAAAACATCACCAAAGGTAGCAGTTCGACCAGAGTCATTATTAAAATCCATTGGACAGAGACCACTTGGAGATCACCAAAAGTAAGCTTCACCAAACTTTGTCACATATCTTCTTGAAAGCCACAATGGCTTAGGTCATTTTTCTGTGATGTTTTCATGTGATTATAACAACCAGGTGTCATTAATATAAATACACCAAAGAAAAAATACAGTGATACCACATTTGTGTCATTTATAATTTTGATTATCAATACGATGCTTTCCATACAGCAACATTCCCATGTATCAAGTATATTGTATCACACTGATTAAAAATTGTATAATATGTTCTTCTGGGCATCCTTAATGTGTAGTCTATCAAATAAGTAATATACATATTATATTGTTGAGTTAAGCTTTACATAATGGAGACAGTCTTGTGCTTCTAGTGGGTTTTTATTTTTGTCTTTTTTGTAATGTACCATTACAATACTACACATTTAAATATTTTGAGGGGTTAATGTTTAAACTGGCAGCATAGTTCAAATTCTGGTATTTCTATTAATGTGAATGGTTGAAATTTGAAATTTTGAGAGAAATGCAACAAGTGAAAAGAGTGAGACTGAAACAATTTCTCCTTTCTCCACCAATGTTGCTGTACATATTACCATACATACAGTACTTTAGTGACACACACTTCTATAATAACAGTAATAATAAAAAACCTCAATTCAAGTAAAATCTGTTTGGCTTCATTAAATAGAAGAATTTTGTTAGCAAATTGGAGGGAAAACAATATCACAATATCAGCAGTAACCAGTATATAATGCCATATTTATTTATGCAAGGTAAAAGACATTCCATTTTCTATTTTAAAAAGGGGAACTTTAAAAAACCTACTGTATCCATAATGCAGGAATTTATCAGCAGGTCATTGTGGAACAATCTGTCAATTTTGCCATGTTTTGCAAATATACTGTACAAAAACAAAGTACTATTGCAGTATTCTATACATGATGGAAACCAGTGGCAGATTTGCTGTTGATTTCAACTGGAGCAGGAGTGGGTTCACTATAAATTTTTAAAATGATTAAAGGCTTATTTGTGGCTTTCCCATAAGCCCTGAGCCAAGGACAGCACATATGTGAACTGTTTCAGGACCAGACCAGGAACATGATTGTGATTCATAGCCACATTCTGATTCCTGGTTACTAGCTTCTTCTGAAACGTCATAATCTGCACCAGACTTACATCAGGCACAGGTTACAACCCCTGGTGCAGCAGCTCAGCTGCATTGATTGACTTGTCCACCATGATAAGGTAGCTTCCACAGAGGAGTAAGTTGGTGCTTATTCCCCTTATTCTCTTGGTCAGGCACATAAAATAGTTCAGAATAAACTGCATTAACAACTGTAGAATGATAGAATAGTAAAAAAGATGTTCAGATTTTTAATAAATTGCTATATACATACACATATGGACATAATCTGAGAATCTGTTTTTATATCCACTATTTTGAAAACAGTAAAGGATTACAGTACAGCTAGATTTAGCAAAACTTACAAATGTGTGCACATAATATCCATTAATGTCATCAGGCACCTGTGCTGTGGGATGAAGTGCTGACATGTTTGAAAGTTAGCTGATTTTAACATTTTTTTTCATTTGACTAAAATAAGTGGTTTATAATTTGTTGATATACCTGATATAAGGATTGTTTTAACAATAAATAGGACATTTCAAATTTTGTAAAGGAAAAAATTAATTTTTGTTGAGAAATTCCCCAAAGTTTATTCTCCTGAAACATGACTTTTAACTCTAAGAAGAGTTCTGAATAGAAGAGAAAACCATTAATATGTAGATCTGGTCTGTATAGATTGGATATATATGATATGCGTTCTGATTCTTCATTGAAAGAAAATTACGTTAGTTTAACTATGTTTGTGAGGGATCAATGGAAGAATGTTTCTTATGACCTTGTTATTGCCCATGAGGGAGGTGGATTACCTATAGCGACAGGAGAATGAGTCCTGTCAACAACATAGGTAATGTGTGCACTGAAGCTCTAGAGCAGTTCTGTTACAATGGCCCCAGCTGTGCCTCTGTAGTATTTTAGTGTAGACAAGCCCTAAGGCAGAGTTTTTTAAAGTATTTAGGTGGCTAACTATGCAGGTAGGCTCCTATAATGGGTTTTTCAAAAGCTAGCATACCTTTAAATTCCTTTAAAAATCTGTCCCTTAGTCTCTCATCTGACAGATGCATTTTTAACTTTGACTAGTATACGGCTGCGACTAGACTGACAAGTTTTTCCACAAAAGCAGATGCTTTTGTGGAAAAACTTGCCAGCTATCTACACTGGCCGCTTTGAATTTGCGCAAGAACACTGACGATCTAATGTAAGATTGTCAGTGTTCTTCCGCAAATACAATGACTCTCCCATTCGGGAAAAAGCACTGTTGCACAAATGCTTTTATGCAAGAGGGCCAGTGTAGACAGCTGAGAACCGTTTTGCACAAAAAAGCCCCGATGGCGAAAATGGCAATCGAGGCTTTCTTGCGCAAAACCGCGTCTAGATTGGCCCAGACGCTTTTCCGCAAAAAGTGCTTTTCCGCAAAAGCGTCCATGCCAATCTAGACACTCTTTTCCACAAATGCTTTTAACGGAAAAAAATTTCCGTTAAAAGCATTTGCGGAAAATCATGCCAGTCTAGACGTAGCCGTATTGTTATATACAAAGCAAAAACTAGAATAATGTACATCCTACTGCTGTAATGTGTGAAAGACTTCCCAGTGTAATTTACTGAATTTAAATATAATATAATAAAGCCTTCTATGTTGGAGGCAAAAGTGAATTTGAGTATTTGTCCCTTTTCATGTTTGTTGCTTCTTGGAATAGAGACAGTGTTCACATTTGTCTTAACTTCCTTTTGTTAAGAGAAGAAAAATTCAATATTTTTGTTTTGTGGTTAGGTTTTCCAGGGGTCTGATTGAGATATTATCTGGGGTCCTACATTAAAGGAAGTAAATTACAAATTGTTTCAATCAGTCCATTATTTGCTGGTAGAGTGCAACAACGTTTAACCTCAAGTTGTAGAATTTCTGATCTTATTTGCAACAGTTATACAAATTAATAATCATATGGTATTAAAGTTTCCCATTATGCTTTTGAAGCAACTCAAGAGAAATTTACTTTTGCAAATATGAAGAGTGAAGTGAAAATGAGGTAGGTCGGGTAACAATAAAAATGAGTATGCGTTGCATATATCTTGCCTACTTTTCTAAATAACTGACTATTGTAGCAGTAGATCTGCATAGATTGGATATGTATGGCATGTGTTCTGATCATTCATTGATTAATCTCACAGGACCAATTATTTCTTTGACTACTAACAAGAAATAATAATAAAGCCCTTGTTGGCACTGCTGTAATTTAGCCTGGCTGTAATCTCCTCTCAGCGAGTGAGAGTGGGTCCAGTGAAATCAATAGGAATTATGGCATTGCTGGTGTCACTTTAAACATTTGAACTTCCTATCGAAGCTTAATGCTTCAGAGTCTGAGTATAACATAAAAATATAAGGACAAATAAGGAATATAGGATTTGCTGTACTAGAATTGTTCTGCAACCATCTGCCTCTGGCAGTAGTCAGCATCCATGCTCCCAGAGTGTTGGCAGTTTCGGCAAATTTGGATATAGCATCTTTCTGTTGAAATACCGTTTGATAAGCTTGCAGACAAGAAGCTTGGCTTTGTATAGTCTTCTGAAAGATCATTCAGGGGCCATATTTAATCTTGCTTTCATGCTATATTAACGTATACACTATTTCACTATCACCCTTTGCTGCATGTAGCTAACAGAGCACTGTTTAAATTATTAAGTTTAAAACTTATTGTTTAAAAATAATGTCTATATTTTAGGAGGTCAATTGTGGAGGGAAGTGCTGAGGGAATAACTTCAGCTGAGGGATGGGAAGAACAATTAGTTCCAGAAAAATTGTTAATCCATTATTTGTTCTTTTTATTAATCTTTGCTCTTTTTTTTTCATTGTCCTGGCTGTAAAAGTGCAGTTGCACACTTCATTAGCAGCTTTTCAAGATTTTGCAGTCAACTACGTACTACTGTACAGAGACCAAAAAAAAAGCACAGCTGCCCTGGGTCAGCTGACCCAACATTGCAGGGATGAGGCTCCAGGGCTGCAAAAAGTGCTGTGATGATATTCAGACTTACACTACAGTTGCAAGGTCCCAGATCTCAGGCTCCAGCTCAAGCCCAAACATCTAGAAAGCAATTATAGCCCTGTAGCCCACACTCCATTCGCTGAAATCAGATTACTCAAGACAGCCGCAGCCATGTGGCAGGACTGTTATCCCAATGTGGACACACCCAGTGGGGTGAAAGTCAGATTCACCAGAATCAGTCTGATGGCTTTAAACAAAGCCTTTGAAACCATCAGGACTGTTACCAGGCCATGGCATAGTTGCTTTCTCTACTGTCATTCAGGAGATCTGGGTTTGACTGCTCCCTAGGTTCAGAGAGTGACTTGAGTAGCAAATGGCTTTGCCCCTGAGAAAATAGGTGTTTTACAGCACTGAAGAAAAAGTTATCTGGCTAATGAGTGGACATTGAAACAAGATAAATTCAGATTGAAAATAAGGTGTACTTTTAAAAAAATAAAATAATTAGCCATTGGAACAACTTATTAGGGTTGAGGTAGATTCTCCATCACTGTCAATATTTAAATCGAGACTGGATGTTTGTCTGAAAGATAGATGTAAGCATTATTATGGGGGTGTTAAGTGGCTTGTGCTATTTAGGAGGTCAGAATAGATGATCCATTCTGGCCTTAGAATTGGCAGTGTACTCAATTAGATCTACTCATGGAGCCATTTGAAAATTATGACATTTTTCAAGACAGTTGACATAAACAAATAAATAAAAGCCCTTCAGCTGCTAGTACATTAAAGACCTTGATTGCAATATATGTATTAGTGTTTACAATATAAATAATAATATAATATTTTATTATAATTGTATAATATAATATAATTTTATATATCAGATTACCTGCGATTATAGCAATCTCTAATGGGAGAGGTCACCTCAA